TTTAAAGAAAAACCTCAGAGATGGTTAATATCTCCTTTGCTTTTGAAACACTTGACTTGGTCTTGATAATGATTTGATAATGTCTATCACGGGAAGGATCTGTGGTACTCAATCTGGGGCTTAAAAACACCCCTAGGACACAAGGGTGCCTACAGATCAGGCTAAATGGTTAGGAAGATCATAGTTATGTTGAAAAGAGAGGTTATTGCCACATAATTGCCATTATATAATCAATTGGCAAAGGACCTTGTGAAAAAAAACAAGGTTGAGTGTGTTTTCCTTCTTGTTGTGGAAAACAATAGGAGAGGATGAGGTGTTAATAATAATTTCATGACCTTCCAGCTGGCAAATTGTGAGGCAATTCCATCCTGCCTCCCGGTGATTTGAGATGCCTCATTATGCGCCTGTGCTTGCCCAGACGCTCCGTGTTCGGAGCCCTGTGAATTGGCAGCGACGCAGTATATCCGCAGCATTGTGAAGTTTGGACAGCCTCGAGTAGCCAGTGCCATAAATGTACACCTTGTTTTGCACAGAACAAGGCCTCTGTGCGGTATATACAGTCTTGTCTGCATAACAGCGTGAAAAAAGACTTGATTTCACTGGAAAACTTAAGCAGGAAGATGAAGGGAGATGGCAAGAATTCAGGGAAGATCTTGACAGAACTAAGAGAATTTAGGGGGAAAAATTAACAAAACAGTTTGAAGTGTAAGGAGTTTGTCAGGGGTTTATATGTGTGAAAGTAAGTGGACCAGAAGTGCAGTTTTATGACAGAGCCCAAACCAGCTCTAATCCCCATGCCGTCGGGATGTACCAGCCTGCAGCTATATTCACAGTAAGAAGTCAGGCCTCACCAGAGCTCTCAGGTTGCAACTGAAGCCACCACACTGCTTTTTACAGCTGACCACATGAAAACGAGCATAATTTGTATCCAGGCTATCACTTTGGGCTGAGCAACAGCAAAGGTTTTGGAGATGCCCAGTCTTGACTGACTGAGGGCTTCTTTGCAGCGGGGCTTGCTCTGGAGCAGCCATTGCTGATGAGCTGCCTGTGTGGACACATTTATTATGTAATAAGAGCAATATCCAGGGGGGAAATTTAGAATAGCTGTTCTCCTTTAATAACCTCGCCTTAGTCCAGGTAAATTAATCACAGAATCACAGAATGGTAGGGGTTGGAAGGGACCTCTGAGGATCATCTGGTCCAACCTCCCTGCCAAGGCAGGTTGCACAGGAATGCGTCCAGTCGGGTTTTGAAGGTCCCCAGAGAAGGAGACTCCACAACCTCTCTGGGCAGCCTGTTCCAGTGCTCTATCACCCTCACAGTCAAGAAGTTTTTCCTCATGTTGAGGTGGAACTTCCTGTGCTGCAGTTTGTGCCCATTGCCTCTCATCCTGTCACTGGGCACTACTGAAAAGAGACTGGCTCCATCCTCCTGACAGCCACCCTGCAGAGATTTATAGACATTGATAAGGTCCCCTCTCAGCCTCCTCTTCTCCAGACTAAACAGCCCCAGGTCTCTCAAGCCTTTCCTCATACAAGAGATGTTCCAGTCCCTTAATCATCCTCAGAGCCCTCTGTTGGACTCTCTCCAAAAATTCCCTGTCTCTCTTGAACTGGGGAGCCCCGAACTGGACACAATACTCCAGTATTAAAATCTGCGTAGGCACACAAATACTCCCAACAGGTGGAGAATCTGCATTGTCTGTGAGCCGTACCCCCCCCGCAGAGCTTCAGTCCCACTGCATCCACATGGCAGCGGTACCCCAAAGCTGCGTCTGACCGGCACCCGACCATCGCAGACATCTGTGCAAGCTTATGAATATCGCCAGCTAACAGGAGCGCAGCACAGTACTCCCTCTGATGACTTTTCCCCTGTGTGAAAATGGCAGCTGCTCATGTGGAGGGAAGACAGGAGCTGGGGGATGTCTGGTTAAATGCAGGTTGCTTCAGCACCTGAATTTAATCCTGCCACATTTAGCATAGCACCAGCATTGCACTGGGATGCCCATCCACAGTGAAACAGGAAGACTCCATGTTCTGTCATCTTCCTTATGCGACAGCAGTGATCGTAGTCACTGGTTTTAATTGCATTAAAACAGTTGCATTCATTTTTTTTCTCAAAAGCTTCTCATTTCAAGTTAAATCTTTGTGTGGACAAGTCCTATAAATCAAAAAGTCTTAAACATCTGTTTTTCTGCATTTCTATGATCCCACCATACACAAGCTTCCCTCCTTAAACCACTTGGAACATAGGAAAAACATACTGTGTCAGGCCAACAGTCCATCTAATCCAATGTCCAGTCAGTAGCAATGACTAATAAAAGATGCTAAGAAGGAGGATAAGTACTATAGAGTAAGACGTATAGAAGTACCTCACGTCTTGATTATTTTCCTTTATATCTCAAAAATTTAGAAAAAAAATGAAGCGAATGTGGAGCTTCACCAGGAAGATGACTTTGGATTCTCCTTGAGGTGACCTTTTTTTTTAAATACCTTGTTCTCAGGTATGTGGCATATTCTTTGTTTGTTTGTTTGTTTTCAGGAAAAAATCTATTAGCTCAGAAATAAAGTTAAGGCACTATTAACATTTAAATGTTAAAACAAAAGTAAAAAAATCTAAGCATCAGACTGACTGCTTAAAGTTTTGAATTATATGCCCAGGCATGTAACATCTGTAACAGAGAAAGCCATGCAAAATATGCATTTCTCTTTCAAATTCCCCATTTACTCACACAGGAGATGGGATTGTGAAGTTACACTCATTACTATTTTACTGCATTACAGTCTTAAAATGAAAGTGAACATTAGAGGGCAAATGTTCTACTTGGCTTAAAAATGAAAGCTTAAGGGTAGAAAGCAAGCACCTTTAATTCTGTCACTCTATTCTTATTCACTATATCTTATTCACTACATCTTTAGTGAAGATTGATACAGTATGAACGGTACTACCACACTAGACTGTCTACACTTAGACACCTTTATCTGCTACCTAACATCTTCCTTACAAGCAGCTGAACCTTTAATTTTATGAGGATGTAATTGTACATTCTTTTCAAGAGTTATCAGTTAGTCGTTACCTCCCAGGAGCATGCCAGAGCTCATTTGTTCTTACTTGAACCACTGATATTCTAGGCTTAAAAGCAGCACAAATAAAAACAGTGACCAGCTTCTGGTAAACGAGCAATTCTCATTATGCATGGTTATGCGTTATGTGATGAATCTATCAACCTGGTTTTCCACAAGCTCTCCTAGACACACATGCTGGCAAAGTCAGCAAAAAAATGTGCCATGGAATGACAAAGGTCTGCCTGTGACCAAATACCTGCTGAGTGCATTAAATCCACATCAGAAGAGTGCTGAGGTCTCCTAAGTGAGATGCAAAGGAGTTGATCAGCTCTGATCTGTTGCAAGATTCATCCACTGTTTCAACTTCTTTTTTCCTCCCAGGAGACTTTCTAGTCTTGGTGCTTCCTATCTCTTTCTTCCTTTTCTCTTTCTCCTTTCTTTCAGTCTCTTACACTCTAGACAATGCCCGCCTCTTTTAAAGTCTCTCCGTGCTGCACTCTTCCTATTTTGTCTCAACAATATTTTGCTTTTCTCACTGTTTGATCTTCAGATGCCTTTGGACCTGTACTGTACTATTTGTTCTTCACCTTTTTCCTGTTTCATATTCCATTTACAGTCTCCAGTTTTAACTGTGCTTAAACACTTCCTGTACTCTTCTCACCAGTGTAAATGCAAGGGAATGCCGTCAGTAAAATGGCATAAAACCCAGGGCTAAGGTGGGATCTCATCAATGTGTAAAAGTGCCTGAGGGGTGGGTGCAAAGAGCCAGGCTCTTTTCAGTGGTGCCCAGTGACAGGACCAGAGACAGTGGGCACAAACTGAAACACAGGGAGGCTCTGTCTGAACATAAGGAAACACTTTTTCACTGTGAGGATGACAGAGCACTGGCGCAGGTTACCCAGAGAGGTTGTAGCATCTCCATTTTTGGCGATATTCAAAGGCCATCCTGCACAACTCGCTCTGGGTGGCCCTGCTTGAGTAGGGGGGTTGGACAAGGTCATCTCCAGAGGTCCCTTCCCACCTCAGCCATTCTGGGATTCTGAAATCAGCTCTGCTTAACTTTGTATTTGAAGCTGATAGAAAGTTACTTCCCTCCAAGAAGTAGAGTGGAGTCACAGATCTTTCTGTGTGAGCTGTGACACAGCTGCACATTATTGCTCTTGGAGAACTGGAGGTAGAGACACAGATTTGCTGGCAGGCTGGGACTTAGGGAGTTGGATACCATGAGTGCAGAGTCAGCCATTTCACTCCACTGTAAATGGACCTTTTCCTCCCACCTGTAAAAACGCGGTAGCTGCTATATTGCCACCAGGAATAAGTAGCCCTTGAGTTTGAAGGTTGTGGCTGGCAGCAGTCAGCTCTTGCTCATATAGATCTGTGAGCTTATTTAAGGGATGCTTATAACAGATGTTGAGTCACACAGCATGACAGGTAGTAAATGAGTGCAGATTATTAAAGTAATTTTAGGTCATTTTCTCCACGTCTGCCCAGTGGATTGTTAATGGAAATTAGGGGCTCCACAACAGCCACTATCAGTTAAACTGTCACTACTGGGACACGTTCTCTGTCAGCCTCACTAATTCTAACACGGTGTTGTGACACAAGGGTGAGAAGAAAATAGAGTCAGTTATTCACAGTGACCCATTTGACTTTCTTTTGGCAGCAACAAATGCTGTGACACTATGCATTTCTTTTCTCAGGATCTTCTAAGAACTTCAGAATGAACATTTCCAGATGTTACTTCTGCTTATTTATGATTGCTTCTGTGCCGTGAAGTCAAATGTTCACTCTGGGTTTGCCGGACAGGACTGAGAGCAATATCAAATTGCTGTGTTTAAGGCAGCTTGCCTCAAGAAAAGCAAAACCTTTGAGAAATCGTAGTAAATCTTTGTATTTGATTCCTCACAGTGTTTGGAGTTAGAAGTCAGCACTGAAATGTGGTGGTTTCAGCAAGGCCTCTCTTTCTTGCCTGTGGCTTTGGTTGTTTGGTCAGCTGCATCTTTTGTGTTTTCCTACATTACTGCAATCGTCCTACACCACGTCGACCCTTTGGTGCCCTACATCAGGTCAGTACTGTTCATACTGTATCATAGTACTGAATTGGCCTCTCACTCGTGAATTCTTCCCCAACTCCAAACTTTAAACAGAAGTTCTTACCTAACAGCTCCAGTGCTAAAGTTACTAGCTGTTTATAGTTATTTGTGTGTAACTATTTAAAGCTGTCTATTTTTGTGCAAAAGTCTAACCTTTAAGCTGTGGGTCTCTGAATATATGCTTAAAATGACGATGAACAAGAAAACTGGGGGTGCATGTCCAACCCTCTGTTCAGAGTAAAGTGTCTTGCTGTCACTAGGTTTTGTTGCACCAGTAAATCCATACTAGAATCTATGTTCCCAAATGCATTGCATCAGGGCTGTACATATGACCTTAGTTTTGGTCTTTTGGCTTTCCAGGTTCTTCATTTTTCCAGTTTCAATATTCTTTATTCACCTTTTATGGAATCAAGATCAATATAAAAGGAATAGTTATACCAAGTATATTCATTCCTTGTTCTAATGATAGTATGTCTCTGCCATGCTTATTTCTACAGTCCTAGAAACTAGCACAATATAGTTTAAGTAATGAAAAATTCAGTGAAAAATATCTGGGAGGGTTTTTTCACAAACCTGTTTCTTATGGTTCCTTTGTAGACTGAAATACGTAAAGTTGTGTTGCAAGTATTTTGAGTATAGATAGATACGTATCACTCCATTTATCTCTTCCAGTGATACAGGGACAATACCACCTGAAAGATGCTTATTTGGGATCATGTTAAATATTTCGGCTTTCTTGGGTGAGTATAGAAAGCTGTCCTTTGTGAACGGCAGGCAGCTCTGGAAGGCACACAGCTTTAAATGATTTAATTTCCTTATTCAGATCATTAATCAGCCTATAATTCTCAGTCAAAAACTAAATTCTAAGCAATCAATCTTAACTCTTTTAAGCAAAGTGTATGTCAGGGATGTTATCTACAAAGCCAGCATGACAATTGCAGACTCCAGAATGCCAAAATGCATTTAAAAAACCACAACAGACTAGTAAAAGAAATAGAAATGCAAATTCAAGGTAGTCACCTAATTTGTGCTGCGATTATGGAGAGGGGGAAAAACAACCTAGTGTGTCTTTCAAATGAAAGAGATCAGAAAAATCTAGTAAGTTGCTTTGTTTACCATTGTATTATTTCAGTTTTGACTTCCAGATTCTCAATTTTCCTATTTCAGTGTACCATCAGACAGTTTTTGTATTTTAAATAATTGCATCTTCCCAGTTAAAAAAGGACAGTCTACTCGTCAGCTGAAAATCTTACTGCATTTGCGTTCTTCATTTACAGGTATGGCTACCATGTATGTCCGTTATAAACAAGTTTACGCTTTGAATCCAGAAAAATCCAAGATCATCAAGCTTAATAAGATTGGCCTTACACTAGGATTGATGAGCTGTTTTGGACTTTGCATTATTGCAAATTTCCAGGTTTGTGCTTTGCTTGCAATGTTCTGAAGCTGTCTGGAGTTGTGTGTTTGTTTACCGAGATACTTGATAAAATGGGGATTTTACTGAAAGCAAAACTTTTTAGGGCAAACCTGTTTTTTTTTTAATTCCCTACAGAAAACCATTAAAAAGATAAGATTTGGTTTAGAATTTCTCACTCATTTCTTATTTGCTTTATCCACTGGGACTTGTGAGCAGCCATTCATGAAAGTCCAAAACATTAAGAAACCTGTAACTTTTGCAGAAAGCAAATTCATCTTGCATCTCCTTATAGGAGACTTGAAAGCACTAGCTTTCAGGTTAAAAGACCACAACTCTATTGTATTTTGACTGAAGAGAATCAAGTGTTAAATAGTCAAAAATTGTTAGAACAAGAAGTAAAGCCAATAAACACACCCAAGCCCACAAGAAGTCCAGCTCTGAAAAATCTACCTTCTTAGGTATGTTTCCCTTCAAACCTGCGCAGTTCTTGAAAATACTGCAGTGCCAACCAGCTTTTGAATTTCTCCCTCCCAATGTCTCTATTTTTCCCCCTCCTCAATACTTTGTTTTTCTAAAATCTGATATTCTCACATGTCGCACCATCAGCAGGACCACATTCTGCATCATTGGCTGTTACATGCAAGACAGTTGTGCATTTGCCAGCCACATATTAAGTAGCAGCTGGGTTTTTCGGGGTCTGTAGCAGTGCCTTCAGCCACTAGAGGCTGCAGTGTCACCTTGGTCTCCTGCTGGATTAGGGCCAGGGAAGAGCAAAGAGGAAAAGCTCCTGTAAAGCTCCACCTTTTTCCCCTCTCCTTTTCCCCTGGCACAGCTCTCCAAGTGCTTCAGCAGCCCCTGTCTTAGAAACCTCAGCACACTCATTTAGGGGTGGTTGTTTTTCTTGTGGAGGCCTCAATCTACTTTTTTCTAGAACCCTAGTTATGCCCTAAGCTCACAACCTCCCCTACCACACTCACCAAGTGAAAGCCTCCAGGCTGTGTTCAACTCCATGATTTCCCTCCAGCACTGGTCAAGAGAGGGTATATCTACTTTCTGTAGATTTCAAAATAATCAAAATATAGAAAGTGCATGTTAATTTGTTAACTAGTCTGTGTAACACTTGAGCAAGATAAAAATTGGAAGATCACACATCCAAGTGATGCTGAGGACTGGTTGAGGGCCACCCTAGAGGCAAAAGGACCTAAAGTCCCCTGGAATCCACTAGTTACTGAAGACAACTGAGGTGTGAAAATACACAGAGATGAACAAAGGGGATATGAGAACAGCCATCACGCAGAGGGCTTCAGACAGCTCTCACTGCTGGGAATCAAAGCAGTAGCACAGGGCTTATCCTCATGGGAGATTTAATTCATGCTGTTCAGCCAGTACTATTGCTTTATTCTAGCTGTGGCTATGACTTCCTCTCATACAGGACAAAGATTTCTCTCTGATGCCGCCTCATCGCTGAACAGTACATGATTTTGGAGCACACGCCTTTGCAACTTGGTTATTCACTGTTTAAATATAAATTCCCACCTCTGTTATGCTGGGGATGCAACACTTGAAATTCATTTGTGCACGTAAAGTGCACATGGAGGTTGTGAGGAAAGGGTGACTCCAATTCCTGATCTTAATAGTTACTCAGTAAAATACACAGTCTCATGCTTTAGGGCATAAAAGATCACCTGCACGACTGGAGTGCAAGGGAGGCTGCCAGGCCTTGCACTGCACAACCGACATAGTCAGATAACACTGATATAGTTAGTGTTAAAGATAACACTTTCTAGTTTCTGTCTTTGGGTACTGTGCTTAGCCAGGGATGAGAGGAAAGGACTGAACACAACATGATTTTTCAGGACATAAATTTTAAGTTGGGTTGTTTTTCTTGGAATAACTTCTAGTTTTAGTGATTTTTACTATTTGACAGTTGATTCTCCTATTTTTATGTTAAGAAGTATTACTTCTTGATTCAACCTTGGTCCCTCTGAGTATTCAAAGATACTAATTTGACAAACAAGGCTTATTCAAACTAGAGTAATTCAGAGAAGCACTAAACCTCATTATTTTTAATCCCATTTTGGTTACTAGAACTGTGTCGTGTTTATCCTGTGTTGCATTATCTTTCATAGATGTACAGATTCCTGAGATAGAAATGCTCAGTAGATAGCCTGTTGTCACTCATTACCTGCCCAGCTGCAGGGATTCCTTCATCCAGTCTCTGTATTACTGTCCATTATGGCTAATGAGAACAGCTTTTACAAATTCCTGTAGTTAAGATGTAGCTGTGACCTGTAACTTAGCCACAAGAACTTAACAAAAGCAGCAATGCAGAGGCCTGGTAGGTGCTCGCTTCCAGCTAAGTCTGTATGGGGTTTCCAAGGAAAATCTCCTAAGTACTAGCACGTTCCAGAACCGCTTAGCTTGGGATGTGAGAAGGTAATTGAGTGGGTGGAGTGACAAAGGTTTACAGCAGAAAATTGTTCTGAGAGTTTAAAATGAAACCAGGTTCCATACAAGCAGTGCTTTCTTTACTGTACTACATACACGTGGTTGGAGCCTGCCTGACATTTGGAGTAGGGGCCATTTATATGCTGGTTCAGACCATCCTATCCTACCTGATGCAGCCAGAAGTTCACAGCAAAGACATCTTTTGGATCCGTCTGACCCTGTTACTCTGGTGTTGTTCAAGCATTGTGAGCAGTATCCTTTTGCTGTGCAGCGTCACCACAAAACAGAGCAGCCTTCACAAATGACAGTATTTGCATCTACATTAATTTAAGCTACTAGTGTGAAAGGCTGTGCCACAGGAGGCCTGTCATCTTTACATGTACAGCTTGTATCGTGCTATCTATTCATATTCTGTATTGCAACCTGGGAACTTCAGGAGAAGAGGGAACCATCAGGTTAAGCCCACAAGTGAGTCACTGGATAACAAAAAAGGGCAAGAGGGATGGTTACCACCCTTTCACTTCTCCTTTCGTTCTGCACCCCAGAGACTGAAAATGGCAAAATAAGAGCTCATCACAGAGAGGTCTGACACAGGTTATGAAAGGTGAGGAGAAAGGGAAGCGTACTTAAGAGATGGGTGGTTTTAATGGGGGGAAAAAAGCCATAAAAGTGTTCCCTGGTGACAGGAATGCTGCAGCAAGTTTTATAGTTGGATACAACTAAAAGAGAAGTCTAGAATGTAGCACAAGAGAAAAATACTACTAACCTAACCATGCACAGCAGTGCTGCACTGTGCCAGCCGGCTCCCAGAGCAGCTTTAAAGTGCTGGCATTTGTCAGAGAGACAATTCTGAAGCGTAATGCCAAGGTTGAGTCAGAAGAGACATCTGACCTCTGATCTCCTCCCCTGCCCATCCTATAGTTCAAAAGACAAGACATTTCTGACCAGCATTCCCTACAACCTTCTCTTGGCTCTGGAATCCATCATCTCCCTTAACTTTTCATTCTGAGTGCTGGAAGCAGCTGTGGGTTTTACAGAAATTTTTTCTGTAAAATTTTTTCAAACCCACCCAGAAAGAGAGGCCTTTTTGCTGTCCAGGGTCATTTAACAATCAGGAATCTGAACCACAGCAGTTCCTCTACTCACCCCGATGGACCTGAACGTTGTGATTTGAAAATTATGACTCAGTTTGGTGTCAAACAGGACTACAACACTAAAGCTTTCGAATTTACATTCCAAAGACATGAGTGCAAAATCATTGCTTAAGTGCTCTCCTTTCTGCAGCTAAATCAACGCCACCAAATTAACGCCCACTAATTCTACTTATTTCCTGGCTGGCAGCCAAAACCAATACTAAACCATACACCCCATTTACCAGCAACAGAGCGTCTCCCGTCTCTGCTACCGGCAAGATTATATCATCTATACTAGTCACATGAGAAGCGATAGTCAGGGCACAGGCTGGTTATCTATAAAGAAGCAAGAAGGACCCTTACCTGCTGAGGAGACTTGACACAGAGCAAGGAAGTCATCTGTGAGACTTAGAGAAAGAAATTCACTCGCAGAAATTTTTGGTGCTAGCAACAAACAAGATTTTCAGCTCTGAACAGCCAAATACAATTGAGGAAGACTAAAACAGAACAATATGATCTGCTGCAAGTTAAAAGCCTTTTACAGATGCCAAAAACCCACAAACCCCAAATCTGTAGAGGTGGTCTAACCAAAATTAGAGGGAAGTAAAGCTGTAGAAATAATATATACATATATAAGTATGGAAGGGGAAGAAAAGGGAAATTGTTAAGAGTATTTTTCTAAATTAACAGCTCATAATGTAATAAGGGAAAAGACGGTAACAAGGAGAAGTCTGTGGCCATAGGTGAAATGGTGTAACTGGTATTGGAGGACAGAAGGAAACATACATTTTGTATCAGCCATAGCATGGCCAGCAGGAGTCGGGAAGTGATTGTACCCCTGTACTCTGGTACACTGTACACTGGTGAGGCTGCACCTCGAATACTGTGTTCAGTTTTGGGCCCCTCACTAGCAGGTAAGACATTGAGGTGCTGAAGCGTGTCCAGAGAAGGGCAAGGAAGCTGGTGAGGGGTCTGGAGCACAAGTCTGATGAGGAGCGGCTGAGGGAACTGGGGGTGTTCAGTCTGGAGAAGAGGAGGCTGAGGGGAGACCTTATCACTCTCTACAACTACCTGAAAGGGGGTTGTAGCGATGTGGGTGTCAATCCCTTCTTCCAAGTAACAAGCAATAGGACAAGAGGAAATGGCCTCAAGGTACACCAGGGGAGGTTTAGATTGGATGTTAGGAAAAATTTCTTCACCGAAATATGGTTGTCAAGCCCAGGGAAGTGGTGGAGTCACCGTGCCTGGAGGTATTTAAAAGATGTGGAAATGTAGCGCTTGCGGGTTTAGCAGTAGACTTGGCAGCACTAGGTTAACTGTGGGACTCGGTGATCTTAAAAGATCTTTTCCAACCTAAATGAGTCCATAAAAATACTCCTGATCTTCTGCTGGAGTGAAACAGCAGAATTGTCAACACAGAAAGAGCAAAGCAGTTAATTACCCACTCTGTAACGAGGGGAGAATGGGAGCCATTTATTTTTTTGTCACTTTGATTAAATTCTTTCCATTGCAGTAGTAACTCAGGGAGGTAACTAAAGCTTACCTTTAAGTACATTTTAATTAGCAGAGAATTGGGTATCTTGCATTCAGATCAGTAACCAGAGCTCCCTGGACCACTCACATCAATTTTTTAATAATCTTTGGAAGTCTGGGTTTTCAAAGACATGTTTGTGCCAGTAAGTTCAGCCTTGTCCACCACCAAAATTAATCTTTCACATCAGGACACTCTTGATATTTAATCTTATTAACAATTGAAGAAGTTAATATCTTAATTCTATGAAAATCAGATCTATAACTTAACGCTCCAAGCTTCATTTATAAAGGCAGTAGCACTGATGTAGCATACCTTCCCTCTGTAAGATGTTAAAAAAGGGACATCTCAGTCACTCTAGAAGAGGCCCAGATGTCTCATCAAATGAGGAATCATTGTCATGTGGGGTTTTTCCTTGGCTGCTGTACCAAAGCAGTTATCAAACCTTGAGTGAACTAAAAGGGAAACAGAAAAGCTAATAACCCCCTCTGCTGCAAATGATACAGCATTCCAACCTGTAACCCACATATCAAGTGATTCTTCTCAGGTGGCTGAGAAGTTGAAAAGCAATCAGAAAAGGCAGTCTCAACACTATTAGCCTGGAAAATACCACTAGAAAAAATTCAAAATGCTAAGTAAGTATTCCCATTTGATCGTAGTTTAAGTGCTTTCATAAGGACATTATGTTTGATCAATGAGGTATAAGAAGATACAGCATACAGAAAACAAAGATAATCAATTTAGATTAGTATTAACCTTTCCATGTGACAGTAACTAGTAATTTGGAACAACCTACAGGTTGAAGGGAATGATGTGAAAGAGTCCATGTCACCATTACTGTTCATTATGCTGAGAAGACCTTGTGGAAAACACAGAGAGATCTCCTTACAGCCTCAGCTTGACACAATCCAGAGCCAAGTGTGAAATTTACAGGTTGCTCATTCTTGGTCTTGAATCTTCCTTAACATATTTCTTTACAGTGTTTGTTTCCTCAGTTGTCTTATACAGTGGCCTCTATGGAACTAATATAGTGCAGAAGTTGCACTGGGACCCACAGGAAAGAGTAAGTGACTGAGTGGAGAAAATAAACAGAGAACAAAAACGAGCTATATTATTTCCAGTGATAAATGCATCTGGGAGCTCACTGTAGTTGTGTACACGTACTTGGGATGGGAGAGGACAAGTGAGCTTTACCAGCTAAGCCAGTATGCAGCTACTTGCCAAAGTGCTGCTCTGAGCAAAACGTTTGCAGCGTCAAGTGTTATTTTAAATTAATCTTGCTCACAGGCAGTAGAACTGTCTCAACAAGTTGTCAAACTACCAACCTGTCTGGTCTGCGATTCCCAGTCACTGTTACATGGTAACTGTAAATAACAAATCTCACATGCCAGCTGGTTGCGGTGAAGCAGAGTTCCTGACTTCTACTGTGTGGGCATCTGGTGGAGTCAGGAGGAGAAAAAGGCCAAAGGATACAAGTGACAGAGCTGCCACTGAAGTGATAAGTGCTGGGCACAGAGGGATCCCAAATGGAACAGACAAAGGGCATATAGGTCTTAACAGCTCTGCCTAGCACCTCCATATCCTCTCCAGGCACTGCTAGAGGTAATATGCAGGCTGGTTTTGAGGGCTTTTCAAGGGCTTTTTTTGAGGCTAATTTTGAGGGCTCCCTTTATTTAAAGCATAAGGAGCCTCTCAGAAGTCTACTTACATCCAAAGGAGGGCCTTGAACCCTACTTTTTTAAAGTTTTGCTGTTGGTCACGCCAAGCTCCTGATTGAGCTTTCAGGTTTTGCAGCTGGCTATTAAATTCCCAGTGGGAGTCATCCCAGTTGTGTGGAGCAGATGTTTTCCTGGTCATTCTCACTCTCCTGCTGAGTTCAGCACCTCATTCTTAGAGAATCCAGATAAGCCAAGAAATTTTGCTCTCCGGAGGGAATAGCTGTGGATGCGGGATGTCATACGTGCAAGCCATCTTTGTACCATTGCAGGTTCAAGAGGAGCTTTTCACACTGATGGTTGTTTTTTTGTCCCCCCCCTCACTTTTACACAGGGCTACACAGCTCACATCATCAGTACCGTCTCGGAGTGGTCGTTAGCATTGTCCTTCCTCAGCTTTTTCCTCACCTATATCCGTGACTTTCAGGTAAAATGAAGTTAACATTAAGTGCTCTGCTTCTCCAGGCTCTAAACAGCCTGACACCGTGCAAGAGGGGCTGCATTCTGTTATCAGTCATGAAGGCTGAAGAACTTGTAGCACGAAGAGCATTAAGCAGTGCTCTCTCCCTCAGTAGGATTTGCCCCTACTGCGTTAACACACAGACTCCAGCATCAGGCTAGCTTTAACCAGCTTCACTTGCGAGATCTGTCACAGTCACAGCAGACATTTGCTTTAGGATCACAAGGCAAACGATGGAGTCAGTCCAGGAGAACAGCTTGGGAGTCAGGCTTGTGGTTCTGGAGCCAATCTGCATTTTGGTGTTTCATCCAACTACTGAAATTGCCCATGCTGAGACAGCAACAAGCCTGCTAACTTGATTTTTCTTTCCTTTTTCCCACATAGAAAATTTCCCTGCGTGCAGTTGTCAGCTTGCATGGACAAACTCTTTATAACACACCACATAGCTTTGCGACTGATGAGCAGACACTGCTGATAGCAGGGAGCATCTAATGAAGGTGGAGAGAACATGTTCTCAGCATTACTCAGGAATTTAATAGCAATAATGGTTGAAATTTCTAAGCATTTATTTTATATAAAAAAATTATGAAGTGATTGTATTGTACTTGACATAAAGGGCTTCGCTATTAACCCACACAGCAATGCAAATGTTATCAGTATTGTAAACAAGCCTGTAACATTTCCACACATGCCAATGTCATGACAGAATTAAATGAAGGTTATTAAAGAGTTGTGTCTCCTCATCACTTCCACCACATCCAGCTTCACCTCCCTCAGCCCCTTGTCCTCCTCTCTCCAGTGTTGTGCAGGCCAAGTCCTTTTGGATGCACAGAGCCCCCCAGCCTAGAGCCAGGCTCCAGCCTCATCCTTCCACGCCTGTGGCTCCCTCATTGGGGCAGCTGGGGCTGACCCACAACCTGCATACTCTGCCAGAGCAGGACTCCAGCACCACCTCATCCTTTGAGCAACCCACAAGGAGAGCCCTCTTTAACGCCACAGCTTCCTCGAGAGGACAGGAGACTGTCGATAGCTTGACCAGCTCTCCTCTTGCTGGAAGGGCAGCTGCGCATTTGCTCCTGGGGAGGCGTGACAGGAGCAGCAGCAGGAACAGCAACCTCTGGAGGCTGGTCCAAGGTCAGACCACTCTGCTCTGAACTTCTTCCTTCCCTCCCTCTTCTTGGCAGTTTTTTGAGCTGATGGACAGGTTCATCCAGGAGTCCACATGCAGCGTGTCCCTACTGCACACGTCTAGGGAGACTAGACTACGCAGCCCATGTCCCACTTGCTCGACAGGGATGCACAAACTCTTAACGAGCACAGAGCATAGCGCAACACATGTCCTGGTAGCCTTGATGTCCCTAGCACTCCCCTGAGAGTCCAAGCCAGAAGCCAGCTGCTTGTTCCTCCTGCTGCCTCCAAGAGCTGTTACATGGTGTGGCCAGCCCCTACCCTGATCTTGCAGCTTCTCAGGGTGCTCCAGAGGTTGAGCTCCACAAGGCTTTCGATGCTAGACACTCCAGATGTGTGCCAGGTACTGAGCATTTTCATAGGGACAACCTCCCACACACAATAGTCATGTCCAGACGAAGTCAGAAGCCTTGAAAATATACATTTGCTCTAGTTCTACCAAAGTATAGCAAAGTAATATAGAATATATTACCTACAGAATACATTATCAACAGCTGCCTTTGAGCCCTATTTAGCAGGAATAGCTCAGTTTCCTTCCTAAATTATTGCTCAAGTCTACAGCTACATAAGCTCTGGCATGTGTTTCCTCCCACACCAAAATAGCTTATGCTGGCACCTTCCCTTCCCTGGAGGGGCAGGTAAAGGATCAGAAGAGGAATTTAAGCTGGAGGCCTCCTGGAAATCACAGCAACTGCCCTGGGCAACGTCATTCTCCCAGATTACAATAGGGTGTCTCCATCGCAGTTGTGCTTTATTTGCACTTGCAGCCTGGTTCAGCCCAGTTCAGACAGTTCACATGGTGAAAACAAGCTTTGGAGCCAAAAACCTGCCAAACTACTGAAGCCAGTGGAGTAAGAGGACAAATGGATACAATTAACATGGGGTCACAAAGGCCCCAAGGGCTATATGGCTTTGGGAATATTTCACTGAGTATTATATTTTATCTGCTGATAATCCCTAGGAATCAGGGCCTCCCTGGAGAGTTGCACACTTGGCTATACGCTCTCTAATGATGCAATACGCAAACCCCAGTTTCTGGTTAACTGCCACAACCTAGAAAACATGATGCTTCAGCTAGCAGAAACCCCTTCGCTATGTCTCACTTAAGTCTCATCAGGCAAATGGCTTTACCAGGAGATTGTCACGACAGCAACATACTGCCTTGGGTTTGCAGAGCCCTGACCCCTGCTAGGAAGGAGGGAGGGGAGCCCTTTTCCTGGTACAAAACAGAGAGAAACAAAAACCTCATTCATTCATGCAGCTTCTCCAGAAGGCTCTAGTAGGACCCTGCCTGCTCACAGGGCTTTTCTCTCCTTCCCCTTAGTGCCTGGCACCACCTTCCCTTCATCTCACTCCCACAGATCACCATCAAGCACAGGGAGGTTGTGCCTGACAACCAGCATCAGACAGGCTGCCCCCAGGACCAATTCCTGCTCCAGAAAGACCCAATTTTCTCTGTAGTAGCAGCATTCTGACAAGCCAGCCATGACAGACCAACATCCGAGCAATCAGGAGTCTGAACTCTGGGAAAGCCAAGCTCTACCTAAACTAGCACATTCCCAAGTTTGCAGTTAAAAGCCCACAGTCCCCCCCCAAACCTAGTGCTCCCCCCACCTGCTCAGCACCATTTACTGGGTTTCTCGCTCATTTGCAGATCCACAGATGTTCAACCTCAGAGCAAACTCTTCCCTGTATAACAACCAACTAGGAAAGCCCTCTTCCTCCTCTCTCACCCTCTTCCACAGGGACAGGGATGAGCAGCACTCAGGAACAGCTCCATACTCCTGATGGATGGCTCCAGAGATGTATGACCGCATTGTATCACTGACTCTTTCTCCTCCTTCCCTCCAGTCCCACCAACACAGAAAATTGCTGCCAAGGGCTGAGCCAGGTCCCACCTCTCCTACTGAGGACTTTTGATGGCCAGTCACCCTGCAGGAAATTGGGCACAGTCTGTGCTGGCTGAGGAAAATTTGAAGATTCAAGCAGTCAACTCAAGACCCTCAAGGATCTGCTTCCCTCAGTGCTACAGGACTTCTTGGCTCCTGAGGGCATTAATATACCCTAATTGCCCTGACCAGTCTCACCTGTGACCTCCTCCCACACCTTCTGCCTATGGCCTAAGAGCTCCTTTTGAGCCCAGGCTCCAGCACCCAGTCTGGTCTGAGCTATGTTACAGGTAGACATGCTTTCAGGCTCTGGCTTTATTTTGTGGATAGGCTTCAGACCAAATAGCAGGTAACTTTTCTCCAACCTGATCTGCTCCATGGATTCCGAAGTCCTGCATCCAGTCCTGTCTCCTGCTGCTCCTGACTGAACACCTTGGACAGACCCAGGACCTCATCCATCATCTCAGCTTGCCTGGGGCTGTCCATGGACCCTGTTATCACCACCCTGCTCTGCCTACCTGGCCCAACTCCCTGGTTAGTGAGGGCACTGCCTGTGCCCAAGTGACCCCCAGCTCACCCTTCCTTGCGGGGTAGCCCCACTCCTGCTTCTCCATAACAAGGTGAAATGTTTCAGTCAATTCCCATTGAGTTCATCAGCATTTCCTCGTTAAGGAGTGGCTGCATTCATACTACTTTTCCTTGCCAGTTCCTGTGAACTCGTTCTTCCTCTAGTCCTGGCTGACTGCAGTAAACTTACAGGCTTGGGCTAGAGAAACTACAGCCTGAATGACTGTACTGGGTCTGTCTGAGATGGAGTTAATTTTCCCCATAGCAGCCCTCAGAGTGCTGTGCTGTGTACTGGTAGCTAGAGCGGTGTTGATAACTCACAGAATCACAGAAACACTAGGTTGG